GCATGTAGGGCCTGGTGGTGTGGGGCGTTTGTTCAGCTGCAAACTGACTTTTTTGACGACGTGAAGGTCGAAGCCCCTAGCACGATGCGACCCAAAAGCGTTGGCGCTCTCTTAGTGAAGAGTTCACCGCCCAAAGCGGCTGGGTCGCAGCATCCATCATTCTGAGAAGCCAAAAAGAAATATGGGCGGTCTGTTTGTAGTGGGGAAAAGGTTGTGAGTCATGATGATCACAATGCTGCAGCCGGAGGGGAGAGAGAGCGAGAGAAAGAGTACCCGCAGGCTGGACTACTTGTGGTTGCACCCGGGTTACCCTGGCTTTGCACCCCAACCAGTAGGAATCTTTTGGTTGGAGTGCCCTATGTTTTTGACAGCGCGCTGGCATGCTGCAGTATGCCAGCGTGCACAGTCTCCTGCGACTTTGAAAGGGCAGATCATTCCTTTCCATGCTCGCTTCAAGTTCACATTGCGACCGTTTCCATGCTTGCTGGCAAACCTGGCTTGCCCTATTTGTGGCTCCTTCTTGTAGACTGTAGACAAACACATCTTGCACATCAATCCATGGTCAGAAAGAGGCTTTTACTTGTGCGAGTGTGATCCAAGCAGCCACGTGAGGTCTTTCTTTCAATCTTTTGTGAAAGCTCGCAGCGACTGGGACTGCAGAAGAATCATCGAACCCTAGGGTCTATTATCCAAGCCTATTCCCAAGAACAAAGCACTTTGGTATGAACAGCGACTCAATCCCGAGCGCCCAGTCAAGAGATACCCCCGCTCCACAGGATTCAGGATGCCAACAGCCAAGTTCAAGATAGAATGTCGCAACATCTCCAAATGACTGAATGACTGGGCCCTGGCCCTTGGTCGTCCTTCGATCCATCCAGCCAATGAGAAGCTTTGAGACTTGAGGAGCTTCCTACGCTCTCTATGCTCTTGCAATGCCATGTTTGCTTGGTGATTCATGTGTTGGTGGTAGGCTTTGCTGGAGTGGAAAACCCCAAGTCTTGTCTTCATCCCCCACTGAGGGGGGAGTGGGAAAATTTTTTGTGGGTGTGTTGATTCTGTGCCCTTCCTAAAATGACTGCAGTCAGCCAAAGGGACTGGCTGAAGTTGATTCAAAAAGCTGGTGCTCGTTTTAAACTGTTAAGCAGCAAAACCTTTTACTGACTATTCTATACTATACTGGCCATGGATTTGACTCGACCAGAAGACTGACCCAGCATTACCTCGCTGCCCACCCACTTAGCCAACAAGCTTTGGTCCACAGCTTGAGAGAAAGGACATTGTGTGACCTAACAAAAAGTTGTCTGCATTTTCTACACCAAAGCTCCAGCATCATCCACTACTATTTAGACATGCACACACTCCGAAGCAGTGTAAAGTAAAACTCTTTCCAAGCCATGTTCACCCATTGTGATATGTTAAATGCGCTTGAACCGCGGGAGACCAGCCGGTGTGATCTCTCACAGTAGAGCCTCCATCCACAAATCCACCACTCACCCTGAGCCCCAAAAGCCCCTGAAGCCTGCCACTTCCATTGATCAGCTTCTTCATCCTCATCGAAGCGGAGCCAAAAATACAGCGCGCTCAAGACTTTGCGCGAAGTAAACATCAACGTGTTGGCAAATCAGGGTGCATCAGCCAAGTGTAAGGCAGTTTCACCAGTCTATCAGTGCCTAACAGGGCCTACTCCAGCCAGGTGCGCGTCATTTGCCGAATATCCGTTGCCAACTGGGTATCCGAAACACTTGACTGTGCCTTTTGTTGGTGATTGGAGCGGGTTGGCGGATTCAAAGGCGGAAAGTAACAAACGGTGGAAAGGCTGCATCAATACACTGAAAAACAAAAAAACATCAAAACACTCGAAGCCAATTTCCAACTGGCCTCCGTCACCTCATCGTCGTCCCAGGGGGAAGCGGTGCGTTGCCTCTTGGCTTCCTGCAGCGGTCTCACAACTTGCACGTGAAACTCAAGGACTCCTCCATGAAACTCCTCCAGGACTCATTAACTAAAAAAATAGAACATCAAACAACAACTGGGGTTTACACAGTTTACACTTCCATCAAAAAACTGGGTCTAATTGGTTCTAGGCGGTGCTATTCTCACTTTTAACTTGCTGTTGGGCAGAATGGTTGGTGACATGGGAGCTAAAACCATGGGTCTACCGAATCAAGGCATTTCCTCCCCTTTGTTCTTCCGATTGAATCAGGAACAGTCTTCCAAGCCAAGATTGCCTCAAATACCATTCTTTTTTCCAGCTGTCCTGTAGTAGGTGCTTCGGTGGCGGATGTGAAGGAGGCCGAGGAGCAGCCGGCTGCCTGACCCGAGAAGGTGCAATGCGTTACCAAAACTTGTAAAAACCAGATTGGTGGTAAGAATGCTCCTAGTAGTGATGCCCTTTGCTCCTAGTAGCGTCCTTGCTCCTAGTAGCGATGCCAGGAGCCCCTAGTAGCGTCCTTGCTCCTAGTAGCGATGCCCTTTGCTCATATCATCAGGAAAAAGAGTCCAAACCCCATCCCTGAAGAAATGAAACAACGCAAACAGTCACAAACTGCTCAACATGATTGAGGAAAAGTCACGTTCATGCACGGGGCCACAAAATATCTGTGCGGTGATTCGTGTGGATCGCTCCCCAATTCATTCGTTGAGACAAGCATCAATGGCATTGGTGCAAAGTGACAGGAGGGCTTTGCCGGTCCTCAGATGCGCCGACAAGGTTCCCAAACAAATGGCGATCAAATCGGCAATTCCGCGTGTCACAACCTGATTGAACCTCAGAGTTTCGCAAAGGAAGAGCTTAGCGACCGGTCTCGGAAAGATCGGTCTGCACTGCTCAAGACCATGACCTTCAACACCCGGTTCAGCTTTGGCCTGAAAAAGGAATCGTAACAAGTGCATCGCTACTAGTAACAAGTGCCTTACTAGTAGTAACAAGAAGCTATTAGGAACAAGTGCCTTACTAGTAGTAACATATTTAGGAAAAAACGGTGTGTTCTTGGACAGCAATTCTAGTAATTACAAGTGCATCGCTAGTAGTAACAAGTGCCTTACTGGTAGTAACAAGAAGCTAGTAATTACAATTCTAATTAAATTATTTTTGTTACTACTAGTAAGGCACTTGTTACTAGAAGCGATGCACTTGTTACTAGTAGCTACGGTGTGTTCTTGGACACCTTTTGTAAAAAGTGTTCAAACAGCGCTGAGAATTTCTTTAAAGACCCAAACTCCTTCCGCTCCGGACCGGGGCACTTTGTTTTGGCATTGGACCACGCAACGAGGGAGCACTTGGGCGCCTCTTCCTGAGGAAGGTTTCTTGGCGGATGCGTTCCATCCAAGATTGAGCGAATAAAAGTACTATTGATCAGCTCTGTCTCACTCTGTCTCTGCTCAATCACCCAGCACATTTCGCGGCAGCAAGCCACGGAAGGAGGCAAAAACTGAGGAAGATCTTACATCAGTAAAGAACTAATTGGAGATGTTCTTTGAATTAAAGAAATTGAGCTTTGTGCCAAGCCACGGTAAGGCCTTAGGCTTCGTTGGCATCGCCTTGAAGGGCGTACCCAGGACAGCGAGAGCTCGAGCGCGGGATGCAACGACTATGCAACAAATCAAGAGGATCAAAGAAAATCACAGAAACACAGCTCCCTGATCTCTTGCTGATCTGTGTCATGCTCTCCAACCAATCCAGTGGTTAATCATGCTCAGAAGACAAAAAACCTGGCCTTGGCCTTCATCATCTCCTTTGACGAAGAGCACTGTGTTGTGAGGCGATCCATCAGTATCCATTGGGTTTGTCAACATGCTCGGGTCTTGAAATCTTTTGGATCCACGGCACATTTGATATATTATCAGGATCCATTCAGAACCATTCAGAACCATGTAGTCAAATGTTACCTTTGAATCTATCCTATTACCAGTTGGTAAAGCCTTTAAAGGCCAAACAAGAAGCTACTAGGAACAAGGGCATCGCTACTAGTAACAAGGGCATTTCTACTAGCAGCAAGAAGCTACTGGTAACAGGTGATACCGTCTTTACCGACTGTCGCAGGTGACGTTTGAAGACGGGTGGAGTTCGGCAGATTTGCTCTAGAGACGTTCGCCTCCCCAACTCTCGCCTCATCCAAAAGCGCTCCCTTTCCCTGCCACACGATCTCGGTCGGAGCCACCAAGTTTAAACTCAAATTTTGGACTTAAGCTATTTCAGCCTTGGCTGTTTCAATGGCTTGGAGAGTTTCTCATCAGTACCCAACTAGACCGCGGTTCGGAAGCAAGAAATCGAGCAAAGGCTCATCAAGCAGGGACAGCTAGCTGCTCAGCTAGCTAGCTTCTCAAGTATGTAGGCCCTGTTTTCAGCTCTGGCGCAGAGTGGAAGATGCTCACTGTGGCTAAGGAAATGCATGTAGCATGTATCCATGTATGTAGAAAGAAGCACACATACTCTATCAGATTTGAATTATATACATATTTGACCGGTCAGGTGATCGATTTGCACCCACCTTGGGTGAGGCCTCCTCATCCGAGAGCCACAAGAGCCAGCCCTGGTGCGTTGAAAGGTGATAAATCTGTTTTAGCTATTTGTCCAAAGTCAAGTCCGTCTGATAGCTGGACTCCAGACATCTGTGCGTGGATGCGAACATCAGAATGCAGCAGTGACACAAAAAATCTTGCTCAAAGCGTCTCGCTCAAGGCACTGCCTTCTTTCCCTTTATTGATGTCTTGACCTTTTTCCGTTTCAGTGAAGCCTTGCATCGAAGTCACGAAAACATAGCCGTGCTCAAATGTGCGTTGCAAGTCATGGGTGCGTCTACTGTGAAATGCGAAACCGCTAGTTTGGTGGCTCCTAAATCTGCACATGTCCCTGGACCCAAATGTAGACTCTAGTAGACGAATTCATAGTAACAAGAAGCTAGTAGTAACAGGTGCCACGCTAGTAGTAACAAGTGCCTTACTAGTAGTAACAAAAAGCTATTAGAATTAAATTCAATTTTAACTTATGCAAAAATAAACTATGTTTGAAGTGTCCACCTTGGGGCATCATGTCCACAGGTGTCGAGAGACCCGGCCTCTTTGACGTCAGGAGCACGGGTGTCCCAGTTCCAATCTTCCTCGTCTTCACTCTCTTCCTCCCACTGTTCCTCTAGCTGCTCATCTTGTTTTGCCTCCTTTGCCTCCTCAGCCTCCTCAGCCTCCTGAGCCTCCTCCCATGTTTTATGTTCTTCCTCTTTCTTCCAGGTCTTTTCATCTGCCCCTTCTTCCCACTGCTCGTCTTCCCTCTCTTCCTCCAATTTCTCCTGTTCTTTCCCCTCCTCTTCCTCGACTTCCCACTTTTCTTCGTCCTTTTCTTCGTTCCAAGACTTGTCAGCTTCTTCTTTCTCCCACACCTCCTCTTCTTTGACCTCCTCCCACTTCTCATCGTCTTTCTCTTCCTTCCAAGTCTGACGATCACTCTCCTTCCACCTTCCATCATCCCGTTCGTCTTGCTCCCACTTCTCATCTTCCCTGTGCCTCGATCCACTTCTCCATTCCCATCGATCGTCCTTCCATTCCTTCCACTCCTTCGAGTCCTTCGAGTCCGTCTCGTTCCAACTCCAGTCCTCCCAGACTTCGCGGTCGCGGTGGTCGCGGTGGTCGCGACCCGAATCGCCTTGAGTCTGAGCGACTTCTTCTCGGTTCCACTTCCAACCCTCTGACCGAGGTGATTTGGGTCTTGACTCCCAGCTCGACGTCTTTCTTTCCCAGGTCTCAGCCTCTTCAGTCTCCCAACTTTGCCACTTCCCATCCCACTGAGATGGGGAATGGGATTGATGGGATTGATGAGATTGATGGGATTGATGGAGAGAAGAATCCCACTGAGACTTTTTCCACTTCTGCTTGGAGTCCGCTTCATCCTCCCACGTCTCGTTCTCACTCCAAGTGTCCCAGCTGTCCCGCTGTGGCCGCTGGCTCTCGTCTCCTTTCCACCTTCGGTCGCTCCAAGAGTCTTGATGCTCCTCCCAGTCCTCTTCAGAATCCTCGAGATGAGACGAAGGCTCGCAAGGGGTACAAGGTATACAGAACAAAGGTACCAGAAATACGAAGAGAAAGTTGCACAAATGTACAACAACAATATTGTGCACTTAGTACTGGTGTTGCTTTCCATTCTGTTTCAGACTATCAGGTCCATAAACCTGTCCCTTCCAGCTCCAAGGTTCTTCCTCTGTCCACTGTTTCACAAAGGCCTGGCAGAAGCAGGCCGAAGCGAGAATGCCGGAAGCGCAAAAAAAGTGGTGCCTGCAGCCAAAACCAAGTGCCTCCTGGCCTTACTACTTGGAGCAAGGACGCTACTAGGGGCTCCTGGCCTTACTACTAGGGACTCCTCACGAAAACAGAAACAAATTTCCCAACTTCGTAAACCACCGTCTCGGACACTATCCTGACCCACCTTGGGCGCTGCTGAAGGATGGCTGGGCTTCCTATCCTGAGGTGGTCAAAGGTGAACAGTTCACAAGCGGCAAATCCAAAAGTGTTTCACGACCCTTCTCGAACTGGAAAGTGACAGTTCGCATCTGTTCCCCACCTCGCCTGGGGTGCAAGCTGAAGGCCAGAGCGCTGCAGGGCCGCCAGCGCCGCCTCCCAGTTTTCCAGCTTTTGTGGTTCGTCATCATGATATTGTTTCTTTAGCCCGCTCCCCCGCCCCTCCCTTCTTAACGAAGTAAGAGAGTAAGCTAGTAGCTACTCAAGCTACTAGTATGGACGCAGCACAGCTCAAGCGCTAATGATTTGGCTCCTAGATTTTTAGGAAAACTTAAGCTTAGCATTGTGTAGTAGTAGTAGTAGTAGTAGTAGTAGTAGTAGTAGTAGTAGTAGT